AATTTCAAGGAAGAATTTAAACCGTTTTCCATAAAATTTTGAAAAAGGCCCATCTGTTTCATGTAAAGTACCATAAAATAAATGAGATTGGACGTCTTGATTTTACTTCCATGTCCGAGGCAGCGGACCTCGACGAGAGAGTCGCGTGGCGGGGCGATTGGCACCGGCATCGTCAAGCGGCGACGGAAGGTGCAACATTTCTTAAGGTAGCTGCCTACCCTAGAGCGATGAAAAATCGTGAAATTGCTTGTTTTTCAATTTGTATTGGGTCGTATGCTCTATTTTATTTTATTTTATTTTAAATGATTCAAGCCGTATCTTCCTATGGTTCTTAGTTTTTGAGAAAATATTTTTTTTCGAAGCATGTGGCAACAGTCAAGCCCTAAGTGAGTGAACTTCAGATGTATTTCCCCATATTGGGAATTTTTAAACCATCACGCACTTCAAATTTATGCAAAAGTTGCAAATTTTCAGCACACCATAAATAAAAACTATTAAAGTACATAAATAAATTAAAATATAATTCTTTTTGCAGCATGTAACCCATTAAATTATCTAGTGAAATAAACTAGAATAGTTAATCTGTCACCAAAACTTTGAATTTTATGAACTGACATATCCAGACAAAATTAAACAACATTTTTTTCTCGAATAAACAAGACCTGGCTCTTGAGTTCTCAGATTATCTTTACCATTCTAGTCATTCACTAGATTATTCAATTGTGATTAAATAAAAAAATAATTATCAAAATATATCAATTTGTTGAAGAGTTGTGACGTTTGAAGTAAAAACCTACATTTTTGCCAATTATTTATAAACAAATTGATTTTTTAAATATTTGGTCTCTAAAATCACAAAGAAATCAAATGTACAAAGGAAAATAAAATTGACCCAAAATTGTAGATTTTTTGTTAGGTAGACAGCTACATTAATGAGCTACGGAAGGTATCAATATTGATGTCAATGTAGTGTCTCTGAGCGGGAGGTCTTAAGTTCGAGACTCGACAGTGTCAGGATTTTCGACAGTAAGGTCGAATTCGCTCGCTGTCTGGAGGAGAATTCTAGCGGCCGGTTGCTCTGATGGCTGTTTTCCATGGTTTCTCCGATCAATACCAGGAGAATGCCGGAGCAGTACTCTTACAAATGGTCCGCGGACCGCGCGCGATTTTTCTTTCCTTTTTCTTGCGCTATCCTCACCCCTTTCTTATGCATACACAAATATGCTCTACTCTACCACGCATGGTGGGAGATTGGTCGGGAGCTGAGAGCTTGACCCGGCTGGGGTGGTGTCCTGCTGGTGGGAGATACCTGGTTGTGGAAAAACCCGCTAGCCGATAGTAGGTCGCATCATCCAGCGGGGGAAGTTCACCGCCACCCGGCGGGGAAACATGGGTGAATATCTTTTTGAAATCTCCGCCCTATCATGAGAATTCTCTTGTGGAATGTAATGGAATCAATTATTATGTTTATTTTCTGTAAACTAAACCGAAAGAGGTTAAAATTGCCGAAAAGGTACATGCTCCCCAAGTATCCACTGCAGTGCCGTTCCCCTTTGCACACATATATCATATCATGTAACAGCACGAAATGAAGAGGTAATTAGTAAAGTTTTTCAGTAAACATCACCCTTTAAACCTCATGACTGTGTGACGTACGATACTTGTCTCATATTTCTTTCTTTCACCTAATGAAAGTGGTTCTGTGAAATTCTTGTGACATTGACTGAAAATCATTGCCTAAATGGCTTAATATTGTTCAGTATATCCGATTCTCAAAAAATCATCCCCCCTACATCTACATGTTACTATTTACCTCTATAAAGCAATATTATGCTTTCCTATGTTTTCCCTGTCTGGGCTGCCGCAGCCACAACAAAAACATCAACAAAATCCAAATTTTTCAAAATAGATTCCTAAGCACCATCACAAAAGCTCCCTCGTACATTCTGAATGCGCAGTTACATAATGAACTTCGCATTACATCAATCTCCGTCCATTTCTCCCTTATCCCTAAAATTCTATTCCAAAATATTGAAGATCCCTTCAACTATTCACTTTGACATTGGTAAGCAAAATTCTCATCGCAAACGATTAAAAAGAAAGTTACCAAGAGAATTTTTCGATCCCCCATAGAAATAAACCGATGAGTCTTTTCAAATTATAAAATACTGTATGTAACCAATGTATTGTCTTATATCTAAAACCAAATTTCTGTTTATTCTGTTTGTTCTGTTCTCAAATGATTCTTGTATATAAATAATATTAATGTATCTTGTATATAAATAATATTAATGTAATCTTATGCGGCTGCAGAAGGCCAATGGCCGAGCTAGAATAAAACAAATTTTAAACACGTAAAAAATGTAAAAAAATATTCAAATCTGGCAGGCTTGTTATATGTGTCGTGGTAGTACTCTACCTTATGGTTCCCATCGTGTTGCCTAACCAGCCTTACTAGCTATCCATACCGTATAACGTTTCTGTGATTGAATCAAGTGAAAAGGAAAGAATCACTATATCTCTTAAATGGCACTTCCATACAAATAAAAAATTGTCTTAACGAGGATCTCTTTAAGGAATATTTGGGTGTTTCACAAAAAATGAAGAGAAACTGAAAAATTCTAGATTCGAGATTCTAGATAACGAAGTTCGTGATATTGAGATTTCCAACATGTAGTATATGAACGTCTGTTGCTCGATATTTTATTTTGCTTGAATTCCGTTTTAGATATGCTATGACAACCGCGCCAAAATGTAGTGTAATTGACACAAAGTATACTTTTTTTGGAGCTGAGACTGACATTTTTATTCGCAAAACAAAGAACAGTTTCATCTAGAAACGGAATTGAAGCAAAACAAAATAGAAAAACTGACGCTCACAGACAACCATGCGTTAAGTAGGATTTTACATTTGCAGTTATTTCGGAAGCCGACTTCCGCGCCGCCGCGCAGCGCCCATCCGGGAGTTACGGCGTAGCGACCGACGGCTGCGGCTGATACCCTTACGAAATCACTGACGCAACTCTTCATTTAAAAACTTTGATCAGAGTTGTAATGGAAACATTTATTCATTATTTCCGGCTCAGGTGTCGCGCCGTATTTGGCCTGAGTGATGTTATCAAGGGAGCCCAAAGGAAGACTCAAATCAGCTTTGCGTCACGGACGACTTCAAAACATATTTAGGGAAATTATTTTTTAAATGATTTCTTACAGTCATAACTATTTAATTTACAGACATTAAGATACTATTCATTAATTGTCCACTTTTCCATGTAATTAACAGTGTTAACTTTTTACAGTTTGTTCTGAATAGAACAGATTGTATACAAAACACGAAAAAATAAATTACTCACAATTTGTGCTATTTAGTTTATAAACAGTTCGTTAATCATGAAATGCTTATTAATTGCTCATTAAATTACTTCCTCTAATACATTGTGTAGTCAGAATGTTTGATGGGTGCTTGATTCAGAAAAATCGATTAACGGCAAAACATGTCTGTCCGTTCGTCGTCAGTAAACTACGCTAGTGACTAAAACGTAGTTAAATTTTCCCCAAAATTGATATTCCCCAATCGATCTGGTTTATGTCGCTGCCCTTGAATTTGAAACCGATATTTTAATATTGAGGGGTACTTTACATAAAGCCGGTGCGACATTTCAAAAAAAAATCATGACAGTTTTCGATTACATTTTGTTGTTAGTGTGAAGGACGTTTTTAGAAAATGGTGTAGGTCTCATTTTCGTTGAAATACCTGATTTTTTGGAAATTGTAAAAGTTCGATTTTTCTTCGACGTTTTCCTAAAAATATAATATCGTATTGTAAATTGGGATTGTTTCTTAACGAAATTTGTTCTCTATAGACAGGTTTTGAAATAAGGTTTTTCGGAAATTTGAGTTGTTTTCGCGTAATTTTGATTAAAATTTAGGGAGTTTTTATTTTTAACTATTTTTGTTTGTAGAAAATAACGGTAAAGCAAGTGGTGCTGGACCCACTTTCTGTATTTTTGAAAATTGGAAAATAATTCCAAATGGTAAATTCGAATTTTCCGTGCTACGTTTGGGGCGCTGTCACTCTGCGAATGTAATTTGAGAAGTGCTTGGAGACAATTAAGATATTCCGATGATCCCTTCTCATTGTTGGGATGTTGTTTAGCTATTTTTGAATGTGTGTTGATTCTGGCGTTAAAAGATATCTTTTTCGTCGTGCATAATATTCTAAGATGTAATGAATAGTGTCAGAATTTCTATGCAAAAACATGTTTTATTTAAGCTTGGTAGATCTTCTAAACTTTGGAGCTCCTTTTTTCTTGTTTATTAATGTTACAGCTTCATGATATGAGTAAAAATCAAACTCCCGAAATGTTGTATAATGCATGTGTGTTCTCACAATTAATGTGTGTTCGTCAATAATTTTTTAAAATTTCAAAAAATATCAATGCGTTTTTTGATGTTATTTTAATAGTTATGCGATCATCTGTCGTCAATAAGAAAGTAATCATTTCTCTAAATAATATAAATAAAGGACGAACAAATTATCTACTTATTACTATACTTATACTTATAAATTATGTTGATACGATCTTAAACTTGCAACTCCATTCACAATCGTTGCTGAATTTAACTTTAAAAAGAAATACTATGTTTAATTTTGTTTAAGCAATAATATATTTTAAATTGCGTCATTTAATTGAGCTAAATGTGAAAACAAATATATCATTTCGCTTTGCATGCTAAGGTGGGGGAATGAGGAGTGATTTTTGTACAAACGAGTAGTTTTGATAAATATAACAATATTTACAATATTACAATTGTATATAACAATTTCCAATCTCGCTTGAATGTGATGTGTTGCATTTCATTCCGTACGTATATCGCAACATTTGGTCTGTTGTACGGTTTGAATCAGCGCGCCAGCAAACATTCGTGGTTCTGCCATCTATTGGCAAATCTGAAAACTGTGTGCACCCCTCGCTAATGCACTGCGCTCTTGCGGTCAGATCACGAAGCCGCTGCTGGAGCGCAAACGTCGAGCCCGCATCAACCGTTGCCTGGACGAGCTGAAGGAGCTGATGGTGGGCGCGTTCGAGGCGGAGGGCGAAAACGTGGCTAAGCTGGAGAAGGCCGACATCCTGGAGCTGACGGTCCGCCACCTGCAGAAACTGCACGAAGCGGGCAGGTTGGCGCCGCCGCTGTCCCCGCCGCCTGGCGGCGCCACCACCGCTGACGCCGTCGCGCACGCCACTCGCTTCCAGGTACGGCGTTGAGGGGGTGACGAAAGCGAATGAGAGGGGAGGGAGAGGGAAAGAAAGAGAAAGAGTAAAAAGAGACAAAAGGGGGGGGTGAGAGATGTGAGGCAGGGTGGGGAGAGGTGGGCCAGGAACAGGGGAAAAGGAGGACAGGGGAAAGGGAGAAACATGAACGAGAGTGGGAAATAAATGAAGAGAAAGACGACAGAGTGTAGAGGGGATAGAGATTGGTATAGAGCTAAAGTGAGAGTGAGTGATAGGAGAAGAATGACAGAGAAAGTAGGTTGAAAAAAAAGAAAAACTGAGTGAGAGAGGCAAAGAGACTTATACAATACGATGGCAATTTTTGTGTTTTCTGTACTCAGTTACTAACTCAGCAAAAGCAGATTTCTGAACGATAACAATATCCTAAGCTCGTACTCAGTAGCCGATGTTTTCTGAACAAAGTTAGCATGCCTCGTGGATCTCGCTCGCCGAGTGCACAGATATTTCTAATTGTGTGGACGTGTGTTGCAGGCGGGCTTCAGCCGGTGTGCGGCCGAGGCGGTGCGGTACCTGCTGACGGCGCCCGGCCTGGACGCGGAGCTGGGTCGGCGCTTGGTGCGACACCTGGCGGCGAGATGCCTCGGCCCCGCCCATGCCCCCGCCTCGCCCTCGCCCTCGCCCTCGCCCACGCCCTCACCAACGCCGTCCTCGCCGACGCCGTCCTCGCCGACGCCATCCTCGCCCGCGCCTTCGCCGTCGCCGCCTCCGGCACACGAAGACGACGGCGACGACGCCGGCCCCGTGTGGAGGCCGTGGTAGCGACCGCCCCGTGGGGGCACCGCTCACTGCAGGGAAGATGCCCTGCTTGTTGACGAGCGAAACGCGATCGCGTCGTGTTTGAGAAGCGGTCGACAAAACGTTTGACTGTCCGTAGGGCCCTCTTGGCATCACTGAAGCAACCACTCTTGAAGAATCAAGTAGCGATTGACTTTCCTGTTCCACTCATCAGCTGATAAAACTTGGTTTTTGTGACCCACCGCGAGGGCAAAACGCCATCCAGATTTCCCAGGGTGCGTCTAAGAATGGCGTGCTTTACGTCGAGGGTGTTGAATCTGTAAAGTGGCTTGGTCCAGATCATAATTCTATGAAGATGTCAACAATTGTCAGAAATTGCACTATGAGGATAGGCGTTGACGTTTTGATTGCTGAGTCAACATTGACTCACTTGCCTGCCCCAACAATGGCTTCCAGAGTCCGGTAACGAACTGTGATCCATGAGGATCACAGCTGATGTCTAAAGTTGAAGTAAGCAGAAAGACACTTCACTGAAAGACTATTATACCACCCGAAATGCTTGAGACTATGAAATGTGAGAATGATTTATGTTGTTTGAATGTATAACTTTTAATATAATCATATTTCTTTGCATCATGTAAGTCCCATTTTAAATGTTTTTAATATTAAATTACTAAACTTGGAAATTTTGAGGATTCTGAATTGAAAGACTTCTTAAGTATGTTTAATAACCTATTTACCTCTGGAAGGCAAATAAGGAAATCAGTGCATTCAAAAAGTTTATATAGTGAGTTTAGAAATCTTAAACATCAAAATTTTATTAAATAACTAATAATAATTGTAGTAAAATTCTACTACAATAATCATTTAAAAAAAACATTAAGACTTTTATTATAACATTTTGGGGTCATAGTTTTTAGTTATAATAATTTTTTTCTTCTAGTAAAATTTCATGTTTTTGACTTACATGCTTTTTAAGAAAAATAATTGTAATTCGTAATTTGGTTCTTTTTATTTCCAAGCAGGGCTGCTGACTAGATAATTCAGGTATCAGTACAAAGAAGGTAGTATATTAAACATTAAACAAATTCTAGATATATATTTGCGAATAATCTTATTTCTCACAATCAATTTTATTGATATATTTGGTAGGACTTAAATGCTCTGGCACTTGCCAGATCACAATGGTTTAAGTAGACTTTCGTGAATTTGCAGTCTGAGAACATGACATAGTACACACTGCAACCTGCATGTGCCTATAAATTTTAAAAATATATTTACTTGAAATGTAGTAAAAATTAAAGTATTTAAATAAATGTTGAAAATTGAATAAAAATTATGAGTCTCATTGGGCTTTATTGGCCTCCTTGAGATTCATGGCCCCAAAGTGGTGTATCAGTTGCACCCTTCTCTCCTCAGGCGTATTTGTAAATTTTCTTGATTTGCTTAAAGTGATTGCCTTCTAAATGCTTCTACAATCAATAACTATGTTTAATGAAAACAAAATAGTGGTTAGAGGTATGAAGTAAGTGTATTTTAATGAGATTATTATTTATAATCTCAATAATTCTAATTTATGTACTGAAACCAAAAGAAAAATGAAAACTAGTTTTTTACTGGAGCTTTTTTCAGCTTTATTGAAGCTTTATTCTTATTTAAGTATTCTGATGAGCAGTTTACATACTTTGCAAAGAAGAACATTTGTATTTTGATTGTTTGTTACTTTGTAGATTGCAGAAAAGGTTGGATTATCTATAAATGGTTTTCTCCTCTTTTATTAGTTGTTATTAATCTTCATTACAAAAGTAAATAAATTATTATATGAGTAATAAATTATTTATAACAAGCTGAAAATTGACCTTTTCAGATCACTGTCATATGTCAATAAACATACATATAGTTATCACCACTGTAAATGTAAACATTAATCAGCCAAAAATTCATAAAGTACATATGAAAGCTTCAAAGATATCTTTTGACTGTTAATTACAAATATCTTATGAGGTTTTCTTTCTTATTGACTTAAAATATATTTATTTGGAACTTGTATGCAAAGTTTACCAGTCAATCTAACTTTCAGAGTCACACGTTTCTCCTAACTTCAAATGTAAAAAGATCTCATTCCAATTTATGAAGCTGAGGAAACAACTTGAAGTACTAAGTCATTTAAAGTTGTTCAAATGTATTTCAAAGGACTTCAAGTGCAAAATTTAATATTTAAATTCTTTAAGTAGATGGACAAGTAGAAAAACTTAATGATAAAGCTTATCTTATTTTTACACAAACTTATTCTTGTAAAGTTGTGTTCACCTTGTAACTTTTCTTTGAAAAACTTCTATAAAGTAATTATACAACACAATGAAAGAATATAGTGACTTTGCTTTAAATTGCAGGGCTATAAAAACTGTTATAGTATACTATGATTAATTTTCTAGGCTAGTTTTGAAATAAACATTATGGTCTTCCAAATGAAGTTTCAGGTATATTAGATAATTTTCTAATGCTTTTTAAAAGTATGTTTTGTTAAATCTACAAATGAAAAATATTTTTTGTCAAAATATTTTATTTTATTGTATAATCAATTTTTTAATAATTATTTTATTTAATTATAAGAATTCCTTAGATCTCGAATATTTTTAATGAACTGAAATAATTATAGAGATGTATATTCCATTCCTGTATAAACAGGGTTTGTCATGGAAAGTGATATTATTTCCTTTGTATTTTCCTATTCTAGAATGTTCTCTATATTTTGTGATTTGTTGTTATAGACCTGATATAAAATGAAATGAAATTACTGTTGTGTAAGAGTAAATTCTTTAAGATTTTATAGTGTATTATTGTCTGTATGGCAAATATTAAAAAGAAATACTTTTGATAGTTATATACAGAATGTACCTTTGAAACATAGCATTGTTTCATACTTAAAAAGCTAATTTTAAAAAAGCTATGAAAAATGTAATAAGATGGAAATAAAAAACAATTTGAATTTTTTAATTGTGGTTTGTAATATTTACTGATATAAAATGTAGTTACTCATTACCAAACATATAATTTTATTATTTTCATTGACTCAAAAACACTATAGAAGAATTCTAGGTTGGTAAGGAAATACGGCTTCATTGGCTGACAATTCAAAATTCAATTTAGATTTAAAAATGTGGGGCATATTGGGGGAAGGTTCAAGTAGGATGGGGCAGGGTAAGGCATGGTTGGGTTAGGTGAGGATACACAAAACAGAAAAACTAATAGATGCTTGTCGTGTATACCAGAGCAATGCATGGTACTTCAGCTAGTAAAAATAATTAAAATTCCTAAGAACAAAAGTAAATTACCTAAAAATATGTCAGAAACCATTAAGATGTGTGTAAAAACAAAGTTAACACTGTCATTGCTGAGTTCTCTTTTTATAAAGTTTTGAGGTCTGGTTTCTTTGATAGGTTGTGAGATACTTATACTCGTACGTCTATCATTAGTTCAGCAAATAACAGGAGCAGCACTACACCTCAGAGTGAGCAAGATTATTGTCTGGACTGCAGCAGTAAATCTAGAATTAAAAGGAGTGAATTATGCAAAAAGATACACGTTATCAATTGAAGAGTATGTCTGCATTTCAAGCAGAAGAAAGCTATTGCGTGCACAGAAACACTAGTTTAATGTACTTTTCAGTTTTGTATTTCACAATGGAGGCTATTTCTCAGAATTGAAGTGCAAAATATTTTAGTGGTGCAGTATTCTATTTTGAGAAAAATATTTCAAACCTGACAATGAATTGTGCAGACAGAAACATTTCTGTTGAAAACTGAATCACTATCAGAAAATTATATGGGTAGATAATGGGGTAAATTATAATTTTTTTTCTCTGTCCGTATTTTTGTAGGTACAATATTACTACATTGGGGTTTGCAAATTCTCAGATAAAAATGCAAGAACATGCACACAAGACTAAAAAGTAGATTTCTTTGAAAGAACAATGAGAATATTAATGTCTGGTTTGAGTAAAGAAGGGTGGACCATTGAGTCTGGTTGAAGACACTATAATGCAATATTTACAACAGTGCCTCCCAAGGCCTGTCTTCACAGTGGCATTATGTCACTGCATTTTGCGTCTTCCTCGGCCATGCTGCTAGATGTCACATGATTGCGACCGTATCACCTGTTTGATCATGCAACATCTAGTGGCACGACCAAAAGCACTGGCGAAATGCACTGACCCAATGGCCATTGTGAAGACGGACCTTGAGAGGCAGCTTTCTAAAAATCGCTCTTTAGGTCTCTGAGCTAAGGGTTTTGTAAAATTGTCAAGTACTACTAGGGCAATTTAAAAAAGGGGAGAAAACATAGTTTACTACATTTTTTTTTTTTAATTCTAGAAATATTAAAATCAAGATTAGTTTTGTAAAATTTCTTTGAAATAATTTGCTCTAAATTTTCATGCATGTCTTTGATTTCAAAATATCTTCCTTTTTAAAATCTCATATGTTTATTTAGGCATGGCCTGCTAGTATGCTTATTTAGGCATACTAGAGTATGCTTATTTAGGCTTAGAGGCTATATATAGGCTATGATTTTGGTGATATAGAAACAAATTCAATTATTTTTATAACTTTTGTTTGTTAAGGGTAAATTCTGGAACAACAAAACAGACTTTGATTGGGTTTTCACTAAAGATAGCGTGTTTTGTCAAGTGTTATGAAGTAAGTAAAAAAGGAATATTTTTTCAAATTATTACTTTTCCTTAAAGAAGAAGGTTTGTTTATTGGTTTTCTATAGTTTTATTCCAATTGTAATGAAATTTTCTGCATGTGATCTTCAAAATAAGAGAAAAGTTACCGTCAGTACGAGATTTCATAATAACGATTCCTATATCTCTTTTCTACCCCCTAAGAGCAATATGTAAGCTTGTACTCATTCCGTGTTTTGCAAATATTTAACAAATAATGAGTAAAGTCATTAAAGTGAATTCAAAAATGTTGAAAGCCCATGAAAAATTCCGTCTTAATGGATTTTGATTCCTTCCAATA